ACCTAACGAGCTCGATGATATGAAAATTTTTTTTCTACAACTTTATGTTATCAACTCTTTGAGATATATATCATAAATAGGGTTATATCCTAAACTTCTATAATGCATGTAACTTCTATAATGAAATGCATGTAACTTTGGCTAAAGTCTTCTTTCTCATGAAACTTATTGCTTACATACAAAATCCTACTTCTCAAAGAACAAGAGGCCAAATAGCCATAGAAAAAGTTTACGATCATATCCTTAGAAGGATGGATGATCAAATCATACAAAAAAGTCCATGACCATATCCTTCGAAGGACGGATGGCCAAACCCCATTGAAAGCCTTGTAGCCATATACTCTGCCACCACACCATTTTTGACATCCTAAAATATGAAAAAAAAAAAAGAAAAAAAGGCAAGAAAAAAATTAGAAAAAAGAGAACTAGGTAGACTAGGACAAATATGTGCTTGGGTATTGTATTAGATTGTTTAGGCTTGATTGATAATAAAATAAAAAATCAAATTAAAAAACCCTAAAAAATAAGATGAAGAAAAAAGAGGTAAGAAAAAAAAAGAGAACTAGGCTTAGACCATGATAGATATGTGCTAAGTATTGTGTTAGTTTGCTTAGGCTCGATTAATCATAAAAGAAAGAAAATAAAAATTAAAAAAAAAACCCTAAAAAAGAAGAAGAAAAAATAGGCAAAAAAAATAATAATAAAAAAAGAGAACTAGACCTAGACTAGGACAAATATGTGCTAGGTTTTGTGTTAGATTGTTTAGGCCTAATTAATAATAAAAGAAGAAAAAAAAAAACCTAGACCAATCCTACATGCACATGTATAAATATCATGCATGCACTCACGGGGGGGCACAAAGAAAACATAGCAAAAAAAAAAAAAAAACTCATAAACATTGAAAGTTGTAGGAAGGGACAAGAAAAAAGAAATAGAGGTCGGAGTTCCAAGCTTTGAATTCCTCTTTCGTTATTGACACTTGAAACATGTTGGACCACCACGATCGACAAGAGAGGAAGATCTAAGCATCACCATTCTTCCCCCTTTTCTATACCAAACGTACCCTCATACGTATGCGTATGCCACCATTACTCTTGCTACATGCGCCATGTCTACTCCTCTATCTTTTGCTTTGTTTTTTATTTAATTTTTATTCAAAATTTATGTGTTGCACGATTATTTTTTGATTCATATTTTAATAATGTTGAATAGGTAATTACCATAATATTTGGATGATTAACTGAAGTAAAGTTACTTAATTTGGGCTTACTTGAAAAAATTTGAACTTAAAGTCCTTGATGTTATTTAACTGATTCAAAAGGCTTTAAATTTAAATTTACTATTAATTTAATCGATGGGGTAGAGAATATTTGATTTTTTTAGGGATAATCTCATTTTTATTTTTAATCTTAATTTATTATTATTATTATCATTATTATTATTATTGATTAAGGAGAAAGGATGATACATGATATATAACACATAATTTTCTTTTTACTTCATAAAAAGTCTATGAGGAAGTATTAGTTAATGATGAAGTCTGGCGATGGGCTATGACATAAAGGTGTAGACCATAATTCAATTTAGGCCAAATTAAAGAGTTTAAAAGTTCGGGTACCAAATTAATATTGTACTTAGTTTATATTTAAATGAGTCTTATTATGTCAAATATCTACTTAAATTATAAAAGTAGTGTATTTAGTGTGGATGTCTAAATTAGAGTCCAATTAGTTAATTATAATATTTAAATCATATTCTTTTTAGAATAGGATGATAAATAAGTCTTTTATATGGATTAGGCTAAGTTTTTAGAGTTCTATTTGGATGAGGTTTTGTTAGCTATTAAGCCAAGGGAGGGCCGACCATATGTTCCTATAAATGGAGGCTTTGTGGTTTGTAAAATACAACTTGCTTATTGATTAAATAAAGCTCTTGAGATTTTTCTTATAAACTTTTGAAATCTTTATGCTTTTACTTAAGATTTTTTTCCATATCCTTAAGTAAAGCTCTTGAGACTTAAAATTTATATATAAAAAAAATAATATAAGGATTTGATAAGGCTTTGGTTTGCATGAACATTGTTGAAATTTTGAAACCTATTATGCCATATAATTTGGACAGATTTAAAACAGAACTTAGAAGTCTCAAATTGACCTAACTTTTGGTACACATAATCTACTAGACCTTGGCTAGGTTATGTAAAAATTACAGCTCATTTTGATTAGTATAGCGTAGGGATCGATCTAACCCTAACTGGCGGGTTCTTAAGGGTTTGTTTGTGAAGTCTCGGGTTATGCATGTGTCCGAGGTTTAGGCTTATTAGCTTGTGATTTGGTTTGATTTGGGTGATTGTTTGGACTTGATTTTTAGGTTGAATAATTGTTGGAGTGTTTTAGACTAGGAAGATTTTGGTTCTTTACTTGTATTTGTCTTTGAACTTTCGGAGGTCTAGACATCTTCTCAATTTGCAAGCATTCATCATTCTTAATGAATGTAAGTCCTTTCCTTTCAAATTAAATATCATAAGAGCTACGAAAATATGATTTTGTTAAAGATTTCAAGTTTATGGGTTTTAGATCATTGCTAATATTGTAAACCTTAATTTTTTGTATTTGAATTGTTTAATCTTATAGTTATTTGTTTGAATTTATTTTATTGATTGTAAATTAGTGTAAGAGTTTGAGTTATTAGTGTAGAATAGTTGTTGTTACGAATAATTGTTCTTGCAAACTTGCAACCTAGTAGTGAGCATTATCGATTATATTCATTCTCTTATATTTAGTTTTTTTATGCGATTTTAGGTTATATGTGTTGAATTAAGTTTATTTTGTGATTTAAGAGATGATTGGAGTCAAAGGAACAAAAGTGAGATAATCAAGATGAAATTTCAATATTGATCGATTGACCTTAAAAGAAAGAAGCATGAATTTCATATCTTTAGAGCTCCGGAATGTAAAAGAGGCCTTCTTGAGAATTAGGACATCTTAAGCTTTTTAGATTGCGATAAAACACATAAATCCATTTTTTGTTTTTGGACTCCTAAAGTCGGTTATAAAGTCGAACGAAATTCGGATCCCGTGACAATTCGAAAGACTAATCAATGTTTGGACTATATATGAAGATATACACATTAGAATAAGATGACTCAAAAGCCTACAAAAAAAGACATCCGGACCTACAATTTTCATAGGGAACTCGAGTCTAAATTATGCCACCTTTTGATCCTAAATCGGTTCAAAAGTTTCAACATAGAACCTAAAGTCTTGTTCGAAACAAGTCTTAATTAATTTCAAAAACAAACATAAATAGGACTTCGTTAGGTGTCATATTTTATCTCTTTACATGTATAGATAGCCTTTAGGTCGCACATTAGAGTTATGTGTTTTTTTTTTTAAAAAAAAACAATTTAGAGTTTTATGCTTCAAAAAATATCAAAGCTAATTTCATCAATTCGGTTTAAGGGATTTCAAATCAATTTGTAAAATATTGTGAGATACGGATTTGATCTTTAAATTATTCTTAATGATTTAAGTATTTTTGGTTTCTCTCACCCTAATTAATTGAATTTAGTAAATTCAATTAATTATGATTGTATGGATAATTTTCTAAGGAGCTCATTAATTGGTTATCTATTGTAATTGATAGCTAGCTAACTTTCTTAATCGGTAATTGTTTTGAAAAGTTAGTACAAGTAGCAAATTAGGTTATTATGATTATGATTCTATTTTTTGTGACTACTTAAAGAAAATAAAAAGATGAATAAAATGATTTTAAAGGTCCTAGATTGTTGTTTAGTTTTATCTATCTTTCTAATTCGTAATGCTATTATTGATTTGATTAGGATAGTTTTATACTGAAATCAATTAATAATAAGAATTTAATTCATAAGGGGTCTTTTGAATTAATGAATATAGGAAAGATTCAAATTTATTTCAGAGTTTAGATAAATCTAGGCTAAGTATTCAATAAGAGGATAGTAATTTATATGTCTTTGAGCAATCTGCAAATTGAATGTTTGAATTTTTCCTTGAATCGAGGTTTTTCTAATTTCAAGCTCTACTTATTTTATTCTTGTTTTCTTTATAAATTCGGTTAAACAAACAAAACCTTTTTTTTCCAAAGATAAGAGAATTATTCTACTAGTCTCTAAGGTTCGACCTTCCACCTGGACTTACTTACTAAAAATATTAATGAAAACAGTAAATAAATAAAATTTGATGTATTCGACTCTCATCACAACCTAACCGACTTGGGCAGTTCGCAGACGTGTTTTAAGGGTTTACAGGCTGATTGCAATTTGTTCAATTTGATTTTATATTAAAAGAAAAGACCAAAAATACTATTAGAACAAGTAATAGTACATTTAGGACAATCAATTAGGTACATTTAGAACAAGTAATAGTGCATCTGGAAGTTAGACTAGACTAACTTCCAGACTACTATCCAACCATCATTTTACATTTTATTATAAAGTCATTTTAATTGAGGGCAGCACAAAAAAACCCGCAAACAATTAGTATACATATTATGACAGAACTCCGCATTGGAATCCTGGGCAGCACCTGGAGAGGGCTGACCAGTGATACGTCTGGAATTCAAGAGGATTGCATCGCTGTTTCCATTACACTACTTGTTTTGGGGAATTGAAGAAGAATGATTGAAGCATGCTCCAAAATGTAACATGGTATTAGCTATTTATAAATTTTGTTTGCTGACAATACCAAAACAATGGTATTAAAGAAGTTGAAGAAGGAACATGGCAAAAGACAAAAGCTTGTATCCAAGGCAATCAATAACGTTTATAAACTCTCATAGACTTTGGGAATAAGACAATAGCAATTACACAAATAAAATGAAGAACCCAGTGTAAGAGAGAAGGCATCAAACAACAGTATAGTTGACAGATTGGTTCTGCAGCAGACTAACATTACATTCTACATTTTAAATGATTACAGCTTATTTAATATAATACAAGACAAGATACAATTAATGCTCGAAAGCTAAGCAAAAAGAACCTGAGAGCTTGAAGGTGTCAAGTCACAGAAACTATCAGGTGGATCCGCCACATGCCATCTAACACTGAAGCTCCATTTTTTCTCACAAATCCCCTTTTGCTGCAGCCTAGAGATATGACCCACAGCAACATGAAGATTCCGACCCACGACATAGATTTTGCGATCACAAGCATTGACAGCAAATGGTTTACAAATTTGTTCCGGTAAGGGAGGCCCTTCTATGGTTTCCCAAGAATCAGTTTCTGCATCATAAACCTTGAGCTTCATTCGTTCAAGCTCTGACACCACAAACAAGCGCCCATAGACCACCACACTTGAACCAGTCCAGCCTTCTCTCAATCCAACAGCCATATTCTCCCATTTATCAGTTCTTGGATCATAAATTTGACCCCTGGGAGAGACAAAGAATGGCCACAACCACCCTTCTGTCACAAGAAGTTTCCCATCAAGAACTGCTGCATCATAAGATGCCATATTTGTTCCCATGTTTGCAATTCTACGCCAATTCCCTTTCACAGGATCCAAAACCTCTGCTGAGTCAAGCTCAAAAAGGTCAGAGCTGTTGCCTCCTGCTACATATATCATCCCATCAATTACCCCGCTAGCAAAAAAAGATCTAGCTGTAATCATCCGATTCATCACAGTCCAACGATTCTTTTGCATCTCATACTTCAAGACCAAGTCAAGGGGACAGTCAACGTCAGAGACCATACCACCACAAACAAAGAGTGTACCGTCCTGAGCTACTGAAACACATCTAAATCCATGAGGGCAGACCTTGTCTTTACAAGGCATTGCAGGAATAGTGTGCCAAGAAAAGTGGGTAAGGTCTAAAACCTGCCACTGGATCTTTCCAGTGCACTTGCGGAAAGCAAAGACAAAGAGCCAAGGATCCTTGAAACCCAATTCCTTTCTACGCGTGAAGAATCGCTCCTTATTACCAAGCAATAAATGCCATCTCTTACAAACGGCTCTGCATGCTGCATGGTTCTGGACTGGAACGCGGAGAAGACAATTGATTGCAATATCATCAGGAAGCCCAGGAATAAGAGGCTCATATTGCAGAGACAACTCAAACTCAGGTGAAGGGTTTAACAAAGAAGATTGGATCACAGCTACTCTAAACTTGGGGGATAATGTAATCTGAGAATCCCCCAGTTTATGTACCAGTGCCTGTTGGGATGATAATCGAACCCTTTGCATCTTTCTGTCTGAAACACAATCTAAAAAACCCTTCCAAACAACAACTGATCAGGCCGTTGTTGCAATACGAGATTCCTATCTGTGCTAACTCACCAAATTGCTAACCATATAAATGGAATAACAATAAACAGCGCAAGGATTTTTTTTTTCTTTCTGAATTCTCCAATTCTTATTCTTTTACAGTTTTATCACAATCAAAAGAAACTCCCCCATCCATGAAATTATACAAAGTAAAGCAAAAACCCATCCTTTGCAAATTCTTTGTTGTAATAATGAAAGATAAAGATCATCCTACGCCTAAAACCCTCCAAGAAAAAAGTCCAAATTCAAACTCATATGCATCAAAGCATATAATTTTTGTAAGTCTACCAAACCCACTGCTTTTTCTATCTCCAAATTCACCAATTAAGATACTAAACAGAGACTCTAAAAGCCATATGTCACTTCAAACACAAGTATCAAAATTCAATACACCAGAAGAAAGATAAGCTCAATTCACCAAGCTATCACCTCCCATGAACATAAAATAATAACCCACAAAAAAGAAACTCATAAATCAACTAGAAATGGGAACTGCAATAATAACCAAACAATACAAACCAAAAGTAGCAGAAATCTTAACTTAAACAGAGAGAACAACAAAACAAAGATTAAAAAATCAAATATGAACTTACAAACAAGAGATAATTGCTTCGGATAATTCCGCTGTTTGAAAGATAGTGACTTCTGAAGGAACTTCTTTAGCTTCAGCTCTTTGCACGAAACGTAAGATTACTCTTTATTAAAGAAAAGATTATATAAATTCAGTTGGCAGAGCTCTTTGAGTCTTTAGGCAGACAAGTCCACGCGCACACGTACTTTGTTTAACACTTGTGAACTCTTGTAAACTATATTTGTGGTCCCCACATTTTAGGTTTTGGTTAGTTTAACAACTGACCTTACTATAATTTTGGCAGAGCTACTCTACGGCAGGGCTGGCCAAAAACCCTTCATTGTAAGTCCATGCGTAGTTTAACCTTTAGACTCGTTTATGTTGTTCCTGACCCATAAAAAAAAAAAAAAAAAAATACATACTTTAAATAATAGAAATTAATAAATAAATTCATTGTAAATTAAAATAAATAAAAAATCAGATTTTTTACTTTGATTATTGAGAAAATTATGGATTAAAATAATGTTATTATGTTTTATGGTATAAACTAAAGATGATTGAACTATCAAATAGTTTAATTTTATTAAAATTTTTAAGTGGTTATGTCGATTTATAAGTATGATTTTTTTGAGATAATACATGTCATATGTGGAATTTATCTCATGTAATAAATCAAGTATATATTACATATTATTTTAAAAATATAATAAACTCATCCATCTTGTTATGTCTTAAAAGATTTATATTATTTTTAAAACTTAAAACTTTAAATAAAATAGTACGATTCTTACCTGAGTTTTAAAAAGAGAACACAATAATATGGTTTTTGTAATGGAAAACTAAAGAAGATAAGAATAAGGGAATATATGTTTGCTTTTTCTTTTTTCTTTTTTTCTTTTTTGTGAAAGAGAACAAATGATTTTTTGTTGTATTTGTTGTGTGAAACAAGTGATTGCAACCTGTCATCGCTTCCTTCCTCTTGTACTTCGTAATCTTTGAGAATTTCTTCTATGACCGTAACCCTTCTCTAGAACAGAAAAAGTACCGTTTTCTAATGCTTTTGTCTGTCAACCGTTTCACCTTTTCTTTTTACATTGAAACCAATTTCATTAGTATAATTTTTGTAAAATCCGTAGGCTTTCTCCTCAGAATCGAAGACCATCCCAAGTTCTGGCGCTTGAGAATTATTTTCCCGTGTTTTTGTTCTTTCTTCAGAAGTCCATGAAGCCGGTATCTCCTTGTCGTCTTCTTTGCTGTCTGATTACAGCACATCATCGCCATTGCTCTCTGATGACAATGATTGAATGCCAAAACCGATATGGTTTTCGATTGAATTATCCAACATCTGGGTAGACAAAAAAATCAAATAAAATAAAACCTCCATCATACGTACATTGGAAAAACAGCCCATGTAAATCTCAAAACACCAAGGTCTAAAAGGGCACCCAGCAAGAAAAGTACAAATAGCCTATATTTGCATTACACAGATCAATATCTCGTCAATTAGAGTTACCATAAGAGGAATACAACACAATTTCAAATCAAATTTGAATACTATGAGAAAAGAAAAAATATTATTCTACGATGAAATTGGTAAGGTATGGTAGGATTGGTATCTAGTACATATGGATGTCAGGAACAGACGTTCGTTGCCTCATCTTGAAGATCTTCAACGCCTTTCCTTATCAAGTCAGCCCCCTCTTTTCTCCCATTGCCAGAAGATGCAGACGAGGATAAACTTAGAGCTGCAGACACAGCAGACAGAGCCTCTGAGAGACCCCATTCTCTATCAAGCCTCGAAGTATGCTGCAGGACGTCTTGTGAGGACGCATCATCTTGATTGCTTGCGTATATTTGGTACCGGAAGTTAACATCTGAAGGTTGAGAGGGATCGGTGACACTGGTCCAGAGTTAGCATCGAATGCTTCAGTCATTTATGAAAAAGGTGTTGCAACTTGCAACCAAAAGGCGGGGTCTAAAACTAATTTTCAAAATGAAATGATTAGTCTTTTTTGTTTCAAAGATTAATTTTTTAATTCCTATATTTTGCAATTTTTATGATTGAATTTTCTTATTTTTTTCAATTTATTTTTATTTTTTAAAAAATATAGAAAAAGAAGAAATGTGAAAAATTGATGAAAAGATATTATATTTTTAAATAAAATAAATATTAAATTACATGTGATCAATTCTATAAAACAATTAAATAATTATTTTCTTTTTTTAAAAAAAAAGACTAATTGGTGTTGTAAGTGTCCTTTTAATGAAATACCAAGTAACTATTTAGGCCTGTTAATTCTTGTAATGAAATACAAGAAAAATTGGGGGGAAGCCGACAATAGAAAGTCCCGTTTGATTGTTTGACTTGCAAAAGTAAAATAAGCACTTCACCCTTCAAATTGGAATTCTGACGCGGGATTGATAAATTTAGAGCAACTAGACGGTTTAAAGTGCAGAGTTAATTGGGAGTCAATCCACCTGATGTATTTCACAAAAGAATTGCATATGATTTTCCCCTAGTAATGCAATTTATGACATTACAGAGGTTCAAAAAATAAAAAAGCCAACAACAGTATGGTTCATTGTTAGGATACTTCTTCTTTCCTGAATGACTGAATACTTGACTTAATATAGATTGAGATTGGTCAGAATCCTTCATTCTATGGCCCATGTAGCCATGTGAGGAGATTCACTCGAAACTTTGACTCCAGCATAAGCACGATAGTATGGAGTTTGGTAAGTTTATCTTTTTGGTCCTAAAAGAAACCCTCATTCACGTCCTTCCTACTACTACTACTACTACTATTACGACTACAAAATATTATTCCGCTTCTAGGATGAATGATATCACTCCTCTTTCAGGCATTGTAGCAAGCACTTCGAATGCAAAAGCTCTAAACTCGTTGGCAACGCTAGACCTAGACCAAAATTAACTGTTAAATTGAAATAAAGTCCAACAACATGGGCATACCGCACAGCATCGTTCTTGTATTTTGCTATCTGAAGGATTTTTGCTACAAAGCATAGCCTGGTTTGGAGAATTGGAATTAGCCTAATTCACGTTGCCAGCCCAGGAAGGCGATGACATTCCCTCAATACGCAAGTACGTTCGGGCGCGTGATAAATACGTTCTTGACGTTTAAAGCGAGATAGACTAGGCCTTGAACTTCTTCGTGGGCTTATACCTATACTAATGTTTTGTATGTTGCAATGTTGGGCTGAGTAGGAACTCGGAGCTGTTAATGTCCCTCATGATTTTCAGGATAGCCCGTACAATTTGGGCTTCAAAGACAGTGTTTCAGTGCTTTGAATGGAAAAAGAACAGTTGTTTTTTCTGCCCTGTTATCCGATTTTTAAGGCAGATAGAGGCACTAGTGTCGATTACTATGCTTAGTAGTTATGGACTATTGGGCTCACTTATCCTCGTGAATAATCAAGTTGGGCCACAAACTATCTGGGTTTAATTAACACTAGATTTTTGGTTAATGGACACCCTTTCCTTCCACTAATTGTACAATTTACCAAATACCAACCATTTTTTTGTATTCCGTAACGTTGCCTTTCTCGTTCAGATTGTAATGGGCTTGACGAGGGAGGGACCATATATACAGGTGATTTATGATTTTTCGGTTTTGTTTTGAACAATTTTGATTTGATTTCTGATTAATCAAACTTAAAAAATAAAATTGAAACCCGAACTGAATTATTATTATTGTTCAGTTTTTGGGTTTTCAGTTTCATTTAAATCATTTTTTTTAATTTCTTTAAAATTAGTAAAAGAATGTAAAAAATAGATTAAAAAAAACATAGTATATTTATCATATATCTAGAATAATGGTAAGATATTGATTTTTTTTATTTTATTTACATTATTTTAAAACTTCAAAAAAAAATTCAGAAAAAAAAATGGTTTTTGGTATAAACCGAACTCAAAAAAAAAAAAAAAAAAAATCTGATTCATTTTTTTGTTTTTTAATTTTGAGTTAAAAATCAAACCGTATGTTTCAGTACGGTTTCATTTTTCAGTTTAAACTGAATATTGCTAGTCTCTATAAATATCTACTGTTTCCGGTGGCAGAATGACTTTTGGTCCCCCTTTTACAACAACTGCTAAATTCTAATTCTAACTGCATGGGCCAGCTCTAATTTCTTGCCTTCTTGTAATTTTTGGTCCTCCATTAATGGACCTACCAAACACCAACCATGTACCAGAAGCACCGGCCTCCTGCCTGTCACCTCAGATTGAGCACGTAGCCCTCTTGGGTATATAAACTAGAGTTTGATTTTTGTTGCACTAATTCTGCACATTTCAATTGATTTTTGTGGAAATTTCTTAAATTCTACCAAAATTAATCTTACTTCAGATATAAACTGAATTGAAGATGCTTTTACGGTGGAATAAAAAATAAAAAAAAAATTTCAAGTTTAGCACTTTTTGAGGTTTTTTTTTTTTTTTACTGGCAGGGAAAGAAAATATTCTAAACCAGTAATCATTTGTAGCGCAGCTGGTAGCTCACGTTTTGCGTTGCTGCTTATATATGGCTAAAGCAACTTATTATTCTTGGTCACCGCAAAACGAACTCCCCAAGCAACTGCTAGTTTGTGCCAACGGGTCAATGTTTTTGAATGTTAAGTCAGACATTCTTCGGTTCAATTTCACGAGTTTGAAGACGATAAATAATACTAGGAGTCATTTGTTGACATCAACTCGTGAGGAGACCACGAACTTTCAAAAAATTGTAATTCTTGCCAATTTATTTGTTAATTCACACCTGGAAAATGACTGCTCATATCATAGAATGACAGCTGAACAAACATTTCAGGAGCTAGAGGAGAGGCTAATAAAAAAAATCAACCAATTTAGAGGTTATAATATGTTGCCTGCTGGCTCAAAGCATCCTTAATCACTAAGATTTAATTTTAGGTTGGGTTACGAGAATTCCTGATTCAGTATGAATTGATTAGCTCATAGCTGAATGGGACAAATCCTAGGACTGAGGTATAGAACTAATTTAATAATACCACTTAACTGTAAGAGGAAAAAAAAACCAACGAAATTAAGACCACTTCCTCCTTTCTTTGAACAAGGCAATTGTTTACCCCAACACGATCATTTGCAGTAAGGAAACTCATCATCAATGAATGAAATTAATATACCAATATAATTGTAATTATGACATGTTTTTATGTTCAATTAAACGATGCTCTAGTTAAGAATTTGTCTTGAATGGGACAGTTTCGACTATTTGCTAAAAATCAATACAATCTAGTGAAATACTTGATAAAAATACTGTTTTTTGAAATTTTCATTTTCCATGATCAACAATCATAACTATACATATACTGTAAGACAACGATTATTATCTAAAATAATTCTTAACCTTCAAATGGATATTAAGAGACTAATTTATCATTCACTTCATACAAACTAATCATTATCTCACTTTATATAAAGGTTAATAAGTCTAATATCTCTTTTTATAGATAAGTTAACAAGTCAAATATTACAGATTTTGTCTTCTAAATTTAGAAGATATATATGACCAGCAATCTTCTACATCTAAGAATTACTTTTTTTAAAGTCTATTTTGCAAGCTAACTTGGTCAATCATGCATTGATCAAGCACAAAAAAAAACTTATTTTATAAACATTCGTCATCAAATCAAACATACATTAACCTATAGCAATCGTATAATCATTGCGAATTGGAAGTCATTTCATCGGTAATCCTAGTTTGAGAATCACGATTTCATGGAAAATGATTTTGGGCATGACTTTCAAAACTTCCTCAGCGTGGCACCCATAAATTTGGTGTTTCCTTATTAGATTGGTGCTAATTGCCAGCGACATTATTAATTTTTATCCATTTTATTTTCCTTTACCAAGTCCTAAATTCTGACAATTTGATCCCATCCCGATCTTGATATCTTTACTCGGCAAGAGACAGAGAATTCAAAAATGAGAAACATGTAGCAAGAGAAGGAAGTAATAAATAAACCTCCAAACTGTATTCAATACAAAAATCAATTAAATACATTAGGTGGTAAAATTAAAACTTCCCACAAAATTGAGGTTTATAATTTCTAACCAAATCTCTCCTACAACCTCATATAGATCAGGCAGCAACCAAATATATCAGCCACTCTTTCAAACTTTCACCTTCCCCATTGTATAAGAAAGATAAAATGAAATAAATTATGATAGGAACAAAGGAAATCACCAAAGCCAAACTATTTACACATGGGAAAGAGAAAACACCTTTTCATTTTTTTTTTTTTATAAAAAAAACTAGTCATTGTGAGTCAAGAAGCAGCTTGGTGTGCTAGGACTTGCCCATGTGACAAAGCAAATAACCTAGGCTTAGCAGGCAATGACAGTGTTTTAGAGTTGGTGGTGCTAGTTGTGGTGGTAGTGGATGGGTTGGTGGTTGTGGTTGTGGCGCCAGAAGAGGAAGTTGTAGTGGTGGCCACGCGCTCACAAGAAGGGCACATAGTGAGAGTGGTGGCAGGAAGCTGCATGTAGAAAGGTTGTGAAGTTTTCAAAGCTCTTAATTCTTGCAGTTCCTTTTGTAACCTCCTGTTCTCTTCTGTCAATGTCTCACAGCATCTCTTTAAATACTCACAATCTACTTCTGTCTGCTTCAATTTTGTCCTGTACATCATTCGAAAACAAAAACTAAATTACAAATTCATTCCAATAAAAATAAAAATAAAAATAAAAACCTTTTCTCAAAAGATAATACTAGTAATAGAAAAGGTGAGCAAGTACCTTGCCCTTCTGTTTTGAAACCACACTTCCACTTGGCGAGGACGAAGATTCAATTGCTTTGCTAAAGCTAGCTTTTGCTTCTGCATGATTTTTGACAAAGAGAAACTTCATTAAGTACTGGGCTCTAATTAAACAATTTCCATAAAATCAATAAACCCTTACAAGTTCGGGATTTAGTAAGAAACAAAATCAAGAAATCACTTAATATTACATTCAAACATATCACTTACTGGATTGAGGGTGTTATGTTCTTTGAAACTCTCTTCAAGAAAAGCTGATTGTTCTTTAGAAAGCCTTAGTTTCTTCCTTGTCAAACCGTTCTCGTCATCATCACTTGCTCTTGAACTTGCTCTTTCAGCTTCCATAACCTCTAAATCTCTCTTACTGCCTCGACCACTTCTAATCCCAAAATCCATTTGAAACGACGACGCTGCACTATTCGGCGAGGAAAGCGCTGCTCCTTCATCAGCATCATCCACGGACAACCGGTTCACATCAAACCCTCTCCCTGGTCCTTCGGTTGAACCCGGTTCAGAAACCACTGCGAAATTTCAAAACCAAGCCAAGAATTAACACATGAGAAAAATAAACATAAACCAAGACTTCAAAACTGCCATAGATCAGTTGATAAAGAATATTTTAGTTCAGAAAGAGTGACGTTACAGTTATCTGTCAGCCATGGAAAGCGAATCTTTGAAGGAGGCTGATGTTTACGAGGAATAGGAGAGAGAGGTAAAAGGTCAAGTTGAAGTGGTGGATCTGATGAGACCCTTCTCTCATCTTCTTGAAGATTACTTTCATGGCTACCTGGCTTGTCTTGTGATCTTGTTGATGCAGTAAAACCACTCCCCAAGCCCATGCAAAACCCAAGATCTTTGCTTGATAACTTTGGGGTTTTGTCAAGAAAATTGAAAGGTTTAGAAGTATCACCTAAACTCAAAGCTAGCTCCATGTTTTGGAACAATTAAAGAGGGCTTTCAACGATTTTTGAAGAGAGAAAAAACCCTATTTAGTGTGCTTCTGAAATGAAAACAAACACACAGAATTGCAGACCTCCCTCTCCAGACCGTGTGCCTTTATATTTCTTTTGCCTTGTGGGTGTAAAGATTGACCGACAAAGCCAGGTTGACAAACACACGTGAATCTAAATAAATATACAACGGTCTACACACGAGACACAAATATGGGGAGAGAGAGAGAGAGAGATTTTCTCTTAAAAAAGCAATCAAGCTTAAGCATATGCTTGATTAATTTAATTTAATGATAAAGAAATGGAAATACAAAGTATTTTAACTTATTCGAGAAACAATGATATGACTGGTAGTATTTAATTTAATATCTAAATCAATGATTTTGAAGAAAAAATAATGACCTCATTTTGAGTTTTTGCATATGTTAAAAAAAAAAAAATCTAAATAGTCATATTGGTCTTGTACCCTCAACTAGACTAAATTAGGAGAAATTAATTTAAATTTTTAGGTTTGGAATCCCACGAAAATATAAATAAAAAAATGTAGTGGGGCAATTTTTATTTGGTACAACACGCAACATAACTTTTTCAATGTTCCTTGTTTTCCTCTTTGGTGTACACATACGCACGGATACATAATTCACATCATATTTTTTTAATTTAATAAGTTAAGATAGGGATGGTCTTCATCATGCTTAGCTCCAGTGGTATGGCCGCCCCCCGCCCCTCTTTTTTTGGCCAAGAATAATATAATTATATAGGATGTTAGATAATTAGAGAATAGATTTTTCAATTTGTGCTAACGTTAGTAAATACTGTAGACTATTAAAAACAAGTCTTAATGTAAAATTTTTACATTTGAATAATTTGATTATTATCATCTAGTGATAAACAACTCCATCTTCAAATGAATTTTTTTTTAATATATAAGTTTTGAATTCTAAAATTATATTTATTATAAAAAATAAATATTATTTTTTATTTCTGAATATAATTAGTCATATAGTTAATGTGAAAATAAAATTAAAAAATAATAACAATAATAATTGGATTATTACCTCCTAATCTTCCGTATGGTTGTGTTTATAATTAAGAACACACCCGAGGGTTGTGATCATGCGGCAATGTTTTTATTTTTATTGACTTTTAATTGACTAAATAAACTGTTTCATTATTGTTATTATTATCATCATTAACATCATCATTATTATCACAATATGATTACGTGTAGTTACCAAACACAATGATAGATGAGAAAGCACTGTTGTTTTGTTTCTTATCAAATGATGATAATCCATCAATGGGTTTCTTCATAACTTTGCAGTTTCCAAGTTAATTAGTATATTATAAAATATAAAATAAAAGCAGTAACAATCTTTTGAGTTGATGTAATTGAAAAGAAAGGACACTCTTGGTGACTTTAGACCGCTGACTCACCAACCAAAACAGTGCATCATCCCCTGCTTTTTTGTACACTTGTAAATCAGCAATTGGGCAAGAAAAACCTCCTGAACCAAAAAAAAAAAAAAAAAAATTGTTTAAACCTGCTTTCTTAGATAACTAAGCCTAAGCGTGATGTGCGAACAGTGCGGGAAACACATCGGGAAGATATAGTCAGATTTGCACGAGATTTGACCATAAACTGCCCCTTCTTTTTATATACTAAAGCAGACAAAGAGACCAGTCTTTTACTTCTCCAAGAAAAGTTCGGTTGCATGATTTTAAAGGGGCCAATGTTCTTATGTGTCTTTTAAGTAGCTAAACTAGGCAGCATTAGATAATTATTATGATAAAAAGGGCCAGGTCACATAAGATATAGCTATTAGCTAGGTATCCAATGAGTCCACTACGGTTCACAGTCATCATCTCCCAAACGGGTTTTGATTTTTCTTGGTGGGTGTTTTCCTGTATTGACGAATAAATATACAGGGGAAGGGATTAGGGGTAGGAGGGTCCCATGCGCGTGGGTTGGCTTTTCAACAAGGTCGTAATTAAAATGCACATCTAGAGGAAGTGACCAGGTCCGATATGTCATGCTTTTGGGATCATTGCAATAATTGAAGTCATGCAGGCTTTAATGATAAGTTGGAGAGAGATATGAGTGAATTATTGGGTGGGGGCCATGACGAGGGATAAAGTGATCCCACCTAGTCGTAGAATATCCACACCAACTACCATTGTAGAGCACCACAGCAAACCCTTCGCTACCCTCATCCAATTCTAGATCAACCATTTTGACTATCGTAATGTTTTTATTAAGGAAGTCAAGCCTGGAGCGAGCCATCAAACTGGATGTATTTGCCTTCCTGCCTTAATTTTATTAATCTTGTTAATTTAACTATTTTTAGGACAGGACTCCGGCATTAAAGACAAGGAAGATGAGCTAGTACATACCACATTATATATATATATATCTGTGTGTGTGTGTCACATGCATTAATTTCATGCTATATTATGTAGCATTAGAAGAGCTGTGCCGACCAGCATTAATATCTCATGTCGCATTTCGATTGTTTTTAGGTTTTCGCTGTCTATAATTTTTTTTATATGTTCTATTTGGTGTATTTTTGTTTCGGTATTGTCTTTAATTTGAAAAACGGTAAATTTAATTTTAATTCATTTTAAAACTTGTTGTACTATCGATAAATATTAAATAAACAAATAAAATTAATAATATGGAAAAAAAAAAAAACCCTGACAGAAGATTGAATTTATTAACCATAATGAGGTGTTGGATTGCTTGAAAGAAATAAAATGCCCCAAGTCTAATTTGATATTGTGAACTTAAGGCCACTCAATTAGAAAGGGCTATAATTAAAAGTCAAATGGCATGGATTTTTAGGGAAGATTAGTAACCTCATTAGTAGAGTGTTCAAGGCTAATAAGGATCTTAGTATTTGTTTAATTAATTTAGTTTATCTTGAATCAATCTGTTTTCTGTTATATGAAGAGAAAGAAAGATCATATATATATATATATTCATGCCTATTTTCAATTTGGCAGCTAGGTTAATCACTCAAAAAGCTTGTTGAACTCGAACCAAAATAGGGAAGAACATCTAACTACTTTTATGAATCGTACTTTAGGAACACGAAGGGAGTTGATAGCAAAGCTTGAGCAGCTAGCATCACCACCACCACATTACAATATCTTTATTTATATTTGAACTATTTTATCCTCCCAATCATGTATGGCAATGCAGATTTCGCTTACCATTTTATTGTTGTGTTTCATATCCAACAATGGAATTAAGGAGCAACTCAATCGATCATGTTCCCCACCTATTCCTATTTATAAGCGCTATTGGATTCCATGACAATAGTTCCTTGAAACGTTATTCGTCAAATGAGTTGGATATTGCCTATGAAGATGTAATGCTCATTTACTAACTTTTGAATATCATGGAATCCAATCATTTCCTGCGAAGATTATGCATATATTGGCAAGCCATACTTTCTCTATCCTAAATTTTTTTAGGGTCCTTTTCCCTGAAAGTGGCCATAATCTAGGGGAACCCGTTCTCTTGATCATATAATTTTTCATCTTTGTCATGTATTTATAGATATAATAACAATTAATTCTTTAATCTACCATGGATCGTGGTCAAGGAAAAATGTCTAACTTCTCGCCCGTAATTGAGACACTAAGCTGCATCTTTTATCGAACCGCAGATACAAGTACGTGATACTTGTCTAAAGGAAATGTCTCACTCGTAGGCATGGATGCTTTAAACTTTACAACTTATCAAAGAGCACCGATTACTGACCATAACCCCATGTGTATTGCTCCCTTTGGTCTGTCAAATAGCCATTTTCACGAAGACATGAAACTTTATTGAACATCATTCACTCCCGATACCATGGTGGTGGGCAATTAAACATATAATTACTTCTACAATGCTCCATTAAGTATAGATGAACGTTAAAGTTTTAGATATCCTTAGACTTATAAATTGGCATCAAATATTGGAGCGTATTCATTATCTTGCATGCGGTTTATGGATCATCATCAGTACTAAAGGACGTTGGATGCGATATGCACAAACAACTTCAGTTATTTGATTACTAATGCAACCAACGCCCCTGTACTTGTCTCGCCAAGTTGTTACATTCATGATTAGTTAACCCGGCTTGCAAAACAGAAGTGAAGAAAATGCCATTGGTAATTAGTTCCACTTAAACTTTGTCACCTTAAACAAATTAAGAGAATTAGTGGCAATTAATTTGGGAACAACATGAATATATTAGTGACAATTCTGCCATCCTTTTATTTTTAAATCTATCTTATGAGATTTGGGACAAGACCCGTTTTTTCTTGGAAGGTTTTAATCATGTCAATGTTCCCCGACGTTTCCAACTGCGAAATCAATTTTTCTATTACGTCAAAAAAAATATTATCTAAACTATGGGAATAAAATATTTACAATCTGCAAAATTTAAAAATTTGATCAAATTTATAAAACCCTAAATCTTCTATTTCCAATTAAAAGTGCAAGTGGTGGCACTCAATCATTTATATTAGAAAAATATATAAAGATATATTATGAAAAAAAATAATGGAATATTTATGCAAAGAGAAAGTATAACCCATGGAGAAATAAAAAAAAATTAAACATAAGGAGATAAATAAAAAAAAGTGTATATTTATGAAATTCATTAATTATATTTATTATTTGTTTTCTTCTTCTAAAATATGACTACTTGTAAAGTAGTCTAAGTTTGTTTGTTTTTTATTATTCCACAATAAAAATACTATGGAGTCAGTTTACACGTAAATTGAAGTTAATTATTTCCATATGATTCTAAGAATACAGTCTAAGATATTAGAAGTGTGAATCTTATTTACCGTCATTTTTTTTTCTTGGGTACAAACATTAATTACACAATTATGTGTAACAACCAACATGCACCAAGCTTGCTGAATTACGTGACAATGTAATGACAGGCAGGAAAGTCACGTGACTAAAGCGTGAGTGGAGTAAT